CCCGGCTCAACCTAGCCAGCCGCATGCAAGGCAAACGCCCTAACGCTGTGCTATTCCTCCGCCCCCATCTCATGGTAATTCGATTAAAAAAATTAATAAAATAAGTGATGCTGGGAAAACTGATTAGCTATGTGCAAAAATCTGAACTCAGATGTCTTTATAATGCCATGCACAAAGTCAAATCGAAATGGATTAAATACTTAATATCAGGCCCCAAACCATTAAGGAAAAATGTAGGCAAAATTCTCCATGACATCTAAGTTAAAGTCAACTTCAAGGATGAAGCACTCCTCATTAAGTGGAAGTAGTGATAAAACAAATGGGACTACATTAACTTAAGAAGCTTCTGTACTCAAAGGAAACAATAACCAGAATACAAAGACAGCCCACAGAATTAAAGTACCTATTTACCCAACACATATAAGAGGTTAATATTTAAGGCACTGGTAGAACTTCATAAGAAAAAAATCTAACCCCATCAAAAAATGGGGAGAAAAGATGAACAAGAATTTCTTCAAAGAAGAAATACAAATGGCTAAAAAGCACGTGAAGAAATGCTCTGCATCATTAATCATGAGGGACATGCAAATCAAAACAACAATGAGACAGCATCTCACACCACAGAGACTGGTACAAATCAAAAAAGAACAAGAACAAGTGCTTAAATAGATGCGGGGAGAAGGGGACTCTCGTTTACTATTGATAGGAGTATCGATAGGTCCAGCCTTTTAAAGAAAACAACATGGACATTGCTAAAAAAAAAAATCGAGAAACTAAGCTTTCATTTGACTCAGCAACCCCTTTTCTTGGAATATACTCCAGGGGCTCAAAAACAAAATGGAGAAAAGGCATTTGCATGCTTATGTTCATCTAATAGTGAAAGAGGAAGCCCCAACTGACCCTTGCCAGCTGTTATGAGCAGTACCGCTTTTTGCTGGCCCATCCTACATTACTAACTGCAAATTCCTGGGCTTTTCTGATAAACAAGGAGCTAACAATTGCTCATCATAAAATTCTGCCCCAGAGCTTAGGCTCACAGGGAGATTAAGATAATGGACAATACCTGAGGCAGGCAGCCAGAAAGATTCAAACCAGCCTGACCACCCTCTAGATTCCCTGCATTCTCTATAATACTAGTCAATTGATAAGAAATGCAAAGGGCCTTTAAAAAGGCCTACACAAAACTTTTACTTTTTAACTTAGTCCTTTACTAAGGACTAAGTTCCTCCCCACTTGGGGAGCTCCTTCTCTTTTCTTTCCAATAAACTTTTCTACTTTCCAACTCTAAGCCTGAGCATCTTTATTATTCAATATTTTCATTCTTGAAAATATTGAAGAACCTGGGAATCTGGAATGAACACAGAGACCTGCTGCTGCTGATTCGGCTTCACCTGCCTCAATAGAATGATACAATACTTTAATAGTCCCTGCCACCCCCAAAAGAATTATATTGAGTAACTGCATACCAAACTAAGACACATATACACTTCAACTCTCTTATAGTGTCATAAATCTATTTCATACACAAAGCAAACATCAGCTGTTCAAAAAAGGTTAATTATGCTGTTAAGAGTGACAATTAGAATGTGAATCTACAGTTAATGTCTTCTAAGTCCATGTTTATACTCTACCAGTCTTACAGGCTATGGATACTCTTAATCTTTTTTTCTTAAAACCCTTACCCTCATTTCATTTCTATGACACACACATTCCTTATTTTTTTCATATTCTATTCTGTTTCTTTGTCCCACTCCCCGGGATTTCTCGGCTTCAATATTCTTTCATTTCCACCTCAAGGTCACAAAGCCATTCTTATTCAACAATAGAACATTAACAAACTTCAAATGTAAAAAACAGAATTATTTCTCACTGATCTTTTGTATAATCTTAGTGTTTGGTGGTTGTTCTACATTTTTTTCTCAGTAGATCTGATCTACTAACCCACTTCTACTCTTGGTGAATCGAGTTTGTCAATTTAGCCCCCATACTCCATACTCCTTCGTCTTTCTACTTTGCAGTTTCTTCCAGCACAAGCACTATTTATTTCCATGATATTAAGTAGTGTCTGTTGACTTCATCTTCAGCTAAGCTTCAGACTATATATATCCCACTGAAAAAATTTAATTCCTTTCTTCCTCTCTCTTTTCCTTTGTGCTCCTCTCTCTCTCCTTTCACTCTCTCTCCACACATAATGGTCCTCTTCTTTTTCTCTCTCCTCTCTCTCCATACATTATATATGTATATGTATATATATATATATAAACACACACATAAAAATATATAGGTAAAGGTAAAGGTAAAGGCCCTCCCGTTGATCGTCGATTTGCTCGAGCGGGCCCAGTAACGTCTCCATTGGAGACTTTGTTGTTACTGTGTCTGGCATATCGAATACTCTCAGTAGCTTGCCGGGCTCTCCGAGAGGGGAGGAGGAATCGAACTCGGGTCGGCCATGTTGGTCGCATGCAAGGCAAACGCCCTACCGCTGTGCTATCGCTCTAGCCCTATATATGTGTGTGTATATATATATACACAGCACAGCGGGTAGGGCGTTTGCCTTGCACGCGCCCAACATGGCCGACCCGAGTTCGATTCCTCCGCCCCTCTCGGAGAGCCCGGCAAGCTACCGAGAGTATCTCGCCCGCACGGCAGAGCCTGGCAAGCTCCCCGTGACGTATTCAATATGCCAAACACAGTAACAACAAAGTCTCCAATGGAGATGTTACTGGGCCCGTTCGAGCAAATCGATGAACAACGGGAGGGCCTTTACCTTTACCTTTATAAATAAAACCTTTCTAATCAGCACCAAGCCAAAATCTTGGAATCTACCTACATTAATACTTAATACTTGCATCTTCTTTCTTTCTCTTTCTTGTCACTAGATTTCTTCCTTATTTCTACCTGAATGATTGGAACTCAAATAATTTTATTGAATAGGGTCTGGAGGAATAACTCAATGAGCTGAGTGCGTATCTTTCATGCAGGAAACACAAACCAAATGAATTTGCATTCAATCCTGACACTGCTCAGTTCCCCAGAGCACCCCAATAAGTGAGTCCCTGGGCACAGAGGCAGGTGTAGCCCCCCAAAATTATTACTTTTTAATATAAAAATAAGTACACTTGGGAACAGAGCGAATAGTACAGTGGGTAGAGCGTTTGCCTTGCACTCAGCCAACAATTCCCTTGCATCCCATCTGGTTCCTGAAGTCCTGCCAGAAATGATCCCTGAGCACAGAGCCAGGAGTAACCCCTGAGCACCACCAAATGTAGACTAAAAAAGCAAAACCTATGTGCACACGTGCACATGCGTGCACACACACACACACATGCACACACCCCCTACATACTTGTCCTAATAAAAGCATTGTCATTATGTGTATTTTGGAAACTCAGAACTAAACTGAAACTGCCTTTCTAGCATTATTTACTGAATAAACAGTATTTCTGGAGTTCTCTACAGTTGATTCAAATTGTTAGAAAATCAGACTGAGGAATTCAATTAAAAAAATTTTTTAATTGGATTTTTGAGTCACACCCAGCAGTATTCAGGGTCTACTTCCCAGCTCAGTGTTTGGAGGATCATGGGTTGCAGAGGACAGAACCAAGGTGCTGGCATATAAAGCTTCAGATCATCAAGCAATCTCTTTGGCTGAGGAATCCACTTATTTTTTTGGCAGGAAGGGAGCCACACCTGGCTAGGAGGTTCGGGGGTAACTCCAGGCTCAGTGGCCATTCATACTGGTACTGAGAAACCACGCAAAACCAGAATCAAACCTGGGCCTCCTGTAAACAAAGCATGTACTACAGTCCATTGAACTTTCTGGCTCCCAGAAATCCATTTTTAACAAGTTCTTTGGATGACTTCTAAATAACTAATTCAGCAGCTGCCTTTAAGAACCAATGAATTAAATCCATTCTTAAGATAATGGACCAGACTAAGAGGTAAAAATGAAATAATGTTCTTGACACCCCTATAGAGACCTAGATCTCATGCAGACCTTTCAAAATCATGTCCTATTATAATCATTCTTTCATTTAGCAATCTCAGTCAACTTAGAGCTCCACAAAATATTCTCTAGAAAACAGAATGACATCCTTAAAGGCAAATCAAAAAGTGTTACTCTTCCCTCCATCCCAAATTTAAGAGATCATTTCTCCTTGATTTGAAAACAAAACCCAGGATCAGAACCACAGTACAGCAGGTAGGGTGCTCACCTTGTCTACACCCAACACAGGTTCCACATAAGGATGTAGAACCAGATAAGCCTTTCATACAAGGCAAATGTATTATCACTGTGGCCCAAATGCACCTTACTTCTAATCCCCTGCACTGCACAGATGGCTCCCAAGCACAGGCAGGTGTGCTGGCCCTTATCACACCCTCTACATCCCAGAAAAAAACAAAGAAAGTAGTCAGATGGTTAGGGCACTTCCCTTACACACAGCCAACCTGAGTTCAATCCCTGGCATCCCATATTGGTCTTTCAAGCACTGCTAGGAGGAATTCCTGAGTACAGAGCCATTAGCATTACAGCCAATAGCATTTTGACCCAAAAACAAAGAGTAGTTCTCTAGTCACATGTTAAGACAGCACTCCTAATTAAAAATTTACTGCAAGGCATGCACTGATACTCTGTTTCCTCCTGTCTATCTCCTGCCTGTGAGAATGAAAGTTCCATGACAACCAGTAAACCTGTCTTCACAGCAGATTCTTTTATATATTTGCCATCTTTCTTGCTCTAGATTTTAATCTTTAACTTCAACAAAATGTAAAAATTCATAAAAGTTAATTTTATCGTTTTTAAGTTGGATAAAAATGGGGATGGGGGAACACACCTGGTAGTGCACAGGGATATAACACTATGCCGGGGATGCTGATTTTATGTAGCCTGCATGTAAAAATAGACTCCAATTTCTTGAACTTTCTTCCCAGTCCCTCACAAAAATTAATTTTAAATTTCTGTATCAAAAAGCTAAATTGTGGTATACTTTCACAATTACCTGTAGAAGATGATGATTTCTCTGGGTGTTTTGCATTTAAAAGTTTTCTGCTAATAAATATGTAACCACAGGGACATGATTTACATGCAACAGGAACCTGTATAAAAAAGAAAAAATATATTATTTTTGTGTTGTTTAACTTCTTAATTGTTATGTAATCTGGAGACTAAATGAAAAATTACCTGACATGTAAATCAGATTTATTTAAATCCCTACCTCCTAGCAAATTTGAGATGGGTTTTATGTCCTTTACATCTGCAATCTCCTAAAGCTTTTGCAATTCCATGAAGAAACAAAACGTATGATAAACTACTGATATGAGTCAGGGTCACGGTAACGGTCCTCCCGTTGTTCATCAATTTGCTTAAGCGGGCCCCAGTAACGTCTCCATCGTAAGACTTGTTACTGTGTTTGGCATATTGACTATGTCACGGGTAGCTTCCCGGGCTCTCGAGAGGGGCGGAGAAATCGAACCCGGCTCGGCAGGGCCAGCTGCGCGCAAGGCAAACACCCTACCACTGTGCTAACCAACAGAAAATTTTAATATGCTCAAAAACTAAGTGTGTGTATGTGGGGGATTTTCTAAAATATTGGTATGAAAATGTTAAAACACAACAAACTAAAGAAGAAAACATAATCAGGTCATTAAACTAATAACCCCAGCCTATTTTGATAGCCCAACTGAAACAGCTGAAACAGGAAATGTAGAAAAGACATTTCAAAGCAGAAAAGAACTGAAAATGATTCAGGTTTCTAATATGAGAAATTAAAATGTCAACTACCACTGACAAAAAAAGAATAATCTACAACCAGCTCAAGGGGGGAAAAGCGTAGCAAAAACAAAAGAGAATGTAGAAGAAAAGTAGGAAGTGAGATCTAAAATTTTATATTCTTGATGGGGTGGGGGGAGGGTCCTGGGGGGGGGAAGCATATAAAATTTTATATTCTCAGTTCCAGGAAGGACTCTGAATAAAACACTTAAATTCAGGGCCTAGGAGATGAGTCAGTGGCTAAAACACCTGCCTTACAAGGGTGAGGCCAAGAGTTTGATCTGAAGTGCCGCCCACATGCACAGAAACTGGAACCCTAGAAGCACCATAAATGGTGTGTTGTCTCAAGCATGCAGCAGGCACTGGCAAGTGCTGGACCACCGGCAAACACAACTAAAGTGCACAATACCCAGGTTGCACCAAAACCAAGTGTGCAAGCGCCACAACCAAGTAGAAGTGGCCCCTATTATAGAAAAAAAAAAAAAACAATGAGGAAAGGAAAAGGAAGAGGAATGAAATACTTAAGTTCTTAAATCTACAGTGGTTCCTTTCTACATTTTAAATCTACAACGTTTCTTTTCTTTGTTTTTGTTTTTTTGTTTTGGGCAGTGCTCAAGGCTAATCCCTGGCTCTGGTCTCAGTGATCACTCAACTGCTCAGGGCACCACATATGGTGCTAGGGATCAAACCCGGGTTGGCTGCATGCAAGGCAAACACTATCTCTCCTGCCCCTAAAAACTTTAAAACTTGAAAGTTTTTAAAAAACTTTTTAAAGCTATAAATATTTTAAGGCCATAATATCAAAAATTTTTTGAAAAAGTTAAATTAATTCCATATTAATTTTAGTTTTAATATTTTTAGTCATCCTTGAAACCAAGAACTGTTCACACAAAATCAAGCCTAACCAAACCTAAACAAAAAGTACTCAAGGAGTAATTAAAAAATTTGAATTCCCTTTCTAAGGGAAATTCTATTTTCCCCTTGTTTAAGTCAGTAAAAATTTAGTTATAATTATAAAGCTTTCTATTCATGTTCATATTTAGGCTTCCTATTCATGACTCATATTCTATAATCTAAGTGATCTAATTAAGTTAAATTGAAATTCTGGCAAATTCTTTTTGTCTGCATAACAACACAACATAAAATCTCCAGTTAAGTGTTTGAGAAAAACAATGATCCCTGAGGCCAGAGAGAGTGCAAAAGATAAAGCACTTACCCTGCAGGCAGCTGACCTAGCTTCAATCCTGAAGACTAGAACACTACTGTTCCCTGAGCCTTACCAGGGGGATACTCCCGAGCACAGAACCAGGAATAGCCGCTGAGCACCATCAGGTGTGGTTCAAAATAGGGGGAAATTCTTATTTAGCAAGGAAAATAGTACAGGGGTTCAAGTGCTTATCTTGAATACTGTCAACTTATTTTAATCCCTGACACCACACACATGGTCTCCTAAGAATCACCAGGTGTGACTCCTAAGCATACAGTGTGACTCCAAAGCCCCTGAACATCACTTAGGTGTTCACTAAAATCACTAAAATACCAAAAACAGATAAATTAAAATAAAAACAGAAACCCTAACAGAGAGGCTGGAGAGATAGTACAGCAGGTAGGTTGTTTATACCTTGCATACTGCTGACCTAGGTTTGAACCCCAGCATCTCATATGTCCCCCTGAGCTGATCAGGAATGGTTCCTGAGTGCAGAGCCAAGGGTACCCCAGAACAACACTAGGTGCAGCCCAATAGTGAAAAAATAAAAAACAAACAAACACTTTTAAATTTTAAATAATAATAAAAACAAACTAAAAACTTCAATTCCAGATATGTCTAAAAAAATTTAGGTAAAATGTGATGATTCTTTCAAACTATTACGAAGAAAAGCTTTATATTAATGGTGCAAAACTGTGTCCAGAAGAGAGAGCTTTATCATTTTAAAATTTTACATCTTCATAGAAACCACACTCAAAGGCACTGACTCATTTCCTTTACACACAGAATACATTAAGAATATCTACAGTTAAAAAAAATCTACAGTAAATTATTTTAAATTAATACTATCCAAAAAACAGAATCATGACATTCTTTTTTTTTAATTTTTTTTTTTAGTGAATCACCATTTTTTTTTTTTAGAATCACGACATTCTTATTCGACACATAATTTGCTCTGAAGCAAGCATCTTCCAGCTACTGCAACTCAATAAATTTAAATTTAGATCTCTGGTACACAGGAAAATTGTATCAACCCATATTCAATACTAAAAGGGAGACATGTAATTAAACAAGGACTATATATTTGGCTTCGGGTTCTAGAAGACACAAATACCAATTCACATTTGATAGGTTCTCATCCCCCTAATGAATTCCTTTATGCTCAAGAAAAATGAGCTAATTTAGCCTAAAGCTCTTTTTAAAATGGAAAGTCCCTTCCCCCCACCAACTAACTGCTTACACAACCCAGAGTCTATAAAAAAGAATGATTAAATAGGGCGGGAAAATGTCAAGAAAATGAATATCATTAGACATAATTAGCACTTTAAACAAATACCTTAAACTTCCTTTAAATTTTTTTCTTTACATATATTCATTTGTGTTGGTTTATATTAGCAAAATTTTTAAAAAGCTTACATTTGAAATAGCAGTATATGCAAAATCCATTTCTAAAGAAAAATATCATAAAACTTTATGTTCAAGAGTATTGTCTAAAACTAAAGGTATAAGGATATATAAATAACACTCCAAAGTTCATTATAATGGCCAAATATAATAATGAAATATCTACTGCTATATGTTCAGGATCTAAAATGAGGCATGTGTGGTATAAAGTGGAGGTGAGAGGGGAATCCAAATTTTGTTTACTGATGACTGGTCTGAGTAATTCAACCCTTGACAGTATAGTCAAGTTGTTTATATGTTTTATATATAACACACACAAGAACAACTGCAAGAAACAAATTTCTGGTTCGATTTTATTTTACCAATTTGAAAAAAACAGCCAGGAATGCAGGGTGTTGGCTCTACTCCCCACCCCAGGGTGTGGCTTCTATACTAATTTTTTTTTTTTTTTGGTTTTTGGACTACACCCAGCAATGTTCAGCTCCAGGCCAGGATCATTCCGAGCAGTGCTCAGGAGAACATGCTGCTGGGGATCAAAATCTTCTCCCACATATTCAGTGAGAGGAGTTCTCCAGTCCAACAACAAAAAATCATTAAGCTCAAAATAATTACATTATAGAGAACTCATCTATATTCTTTGTTGCCAAGAGAACTTAAGTTACCTACAGCAGACATCTTCGCTTCATGTCTCATAAAATTTTCTATAAATAAAATAGAAATAACTGCCTTACTGAAAAAGAAAATGAAGGCAAAAACTGCTCTACTGTAAAAAAAAATGTAGGCAAAACCTGAAACATAACAAACACAAAATATAACAGAAAATGCAAAGAATCCTGAATTTTACTAGACATAAAATGGCCCTGTAATTTTGAGAAGCCCTTTGAAAAGGAAAAGTATGGTGACTAAGATGTAGAATTACATTTTCAATACTGCCATACAAAGGTGGTCATCATAATACAATTGAAAATCTAAGTATTTGCTGATCTCAATATCTATTTTATAACACACAAAATCACAAGTAAATCTATCCCACAGAGACTATCTCAAACTTTCAGGACTTTACATTTATGTTTATAAAATATAAATATGTTCTAATTTAATATCAGGCAATTTAGAATAACATCAGTATTCTAACGTTTAAAATGTCTTCTAGATTCTAATTTTTTCTCATTTAAAAATAGAAAGATTGTACTTTTAAATAATCTGAAAACTTGAGTCCACACAACCATAGTACACTGGGTAAGGAGTTTGCCGTACATGTGGCAAACCGGGTTCAATCCCCAGCATCCCATATAATCCCTTAAAGCACCATCAGGAGTAAGCCCTAAACACTGCTGAGTGTGGCCCCCAAACAAAAAATAACCAGAAAACTAAAATTAGCCTATTTCAACTTCTTTACTGTTTTTAGTAAAAGGCAGATTTTTAGAATAACCAAATTTTTCAGTTTGTCTTCATGTATGTTGCATCATCTCCAGTATTAATAATAAGATAGAAACAAGCCAACATTTAAAACTATACAATAGTCTGTTATGGAGTAGACTGTGTCATCATCCTCTACTCCCCAAATTTCTATCTGGAAGTCCATCTCCAGTCTTTAAGATCAATGCTGGTCATGGATGTGGGGGGGGGGGGGGGTCACAGGATGGGTGAAATAACTGACACCAGAAAATTCTGTGCCAAAATCTAAGACTTCTAACTCCAGAAAGAACTAGGAGAAAATTTATTAGAGGGCTTTGAGCCACCCAATCTTTGGTATTGCTATGGCATCAGGAGTGGAGGTTGGTATGTAACCAAATTAACTTAATCTTTCCAAAAAAAAAAATACAAGTTTATTATTTCCTCTTTCTCTAAGATATTAAAAACAAGTTATTTTCCCCAAACAAGGTTAGCATTTGCAACAACTAGTGCCCTACAGAAAGTATAATATATATATATATATATAAAGCATACCTCTGCACAATTACAACAAATGGAAATGATTTAAATATTGAAACAATCCCCTAAGGGACTTAAATGAAAAGCAAAATAGTCAGAATTTCACAATGTTGTTTAACGGTTCGAGTTTTAACTATTTACTCTGGAAAACCTGACTAAATTGTTCTTATACTATTAAACTCATACGATCAATAGAATGTATTCTCAGCGCGGTTTTCCTGAGAAGCATTTCTACCACTGCCAATAAAAACACTGAATAAAACATTTAACATTCCATTACAAAATCTGATCAACCTACAAAAGTGTTCTTTAAAGAATGAAGTAAAATAAGCTCCCTGAAAGTCTCCAGCCATTTCAAATTATTCTTCATTTTTAAAGGAGGGGTAAAGAGGAGGCGAGGTAGTCATTTTGAAAAAATTCACTCAGTGGAAAGAAAAAAAAAAACGGATCTGCATGTTGGCATGAAACAAACAGGAATGGTTTTAATTGAGTGATTTTTAACTCATTAGGATTTTAAGGCCTCTTAGAAGAACGCCTAACGCATGCTTGAATCAAGAAACGGTAAAATGCGTATCAAAGCACACGAATTCAGTGTGGAAAGCAATTTTCAAAATTTATAAAATTACATCTATTTTATAGGATCTGGAAGCAGAAGAACCAGAATTTTGCGAACAGAGGATCTGGGAGAGTGAGTGAAGAGTGCCCAGAAATAGGGGCGTAATTTATGTCCCACGAAAGACAATGTAAAGAAAGGATTCGTTATTGATATCTATATATAGAGATATGCATGCATGTGTATATACTTAGGGGACCAAACTTTCAAATTCGCCAAAATTGGAGTCTATGACTTTGCGGCCCCTTTTGTCAAATGTGAGCCATCGTCCTGGGCTCGGCGGGGTACCCGGGGGTCAGGAGTCCACTGTAGGCGTCTGGAAGGGAACAAAGCAACCCTGCGAGGCAGGAGGGGGCCCGGAGGCACGAAGGCGTTTCCCACTCGGCCCCACGGGGGGTGCCAGCCCACTGGGGCGCTGACCCCCGGAATCCCGCCGCTGTCACCCGCTGCCGGACAGGCGCCTCGGGGACGACCCGGACGGGCCACCCGGCCGCCTCACCGCCCACTCACGCCCCCTCCCGCGCCGCCCGCCCCGCCGCCGCGACCCCCTCCCGGCTGACCGCCGCCAGGTGGGCACCCCGCGCCTCAGCCCGGCCGCTTCCGGGCCCCCGCCGCGGCCCCCCCGCCCCGAACCCCCCGAGCCCGCCCACCCCCTCGGCCGCCCGCAGCCCGGCCGAGCGCTCCCTCCACACGCAACGGCCGCGGGCAACGGCCGCTCGCCCGCCAGCAGCCGCCCCGCTCGGGCAGCCCGCGAGCCGGTCGCCGGCGCCCACCTGTTGGTCGCACTCGGGGCATGATTTGGTGGCCATCTTCACTTTCTTGGCTCGAGTTGCAGACATGCTCTTCGCGGGCGGCAGCGGCAGAGTCGGCGGCGGCGGCGGCGGCGGCGGCAGCGGCGGCAGCAGTGCGGGCTCCTCCCCCCGTACCTCGGCGGCCCGGCCTCCGCCCGCCGCGTCTCCGCCGGCCACACCGAGGCTCTGGTGGGTGCCGCGCACGTGCGCGTGCGCGAGCTCACACGGAGCCTGCGCGCCGAGGGGGCGGAGGGAGAGCGAGGCAGGGGGTGTGGCGAGGCGGCCGCCCGCAGTGGGCGTCGGTCCCTAGCGCCTACGCCGCGAGGCGCGCGACACGGGCTCCCACGACGGATGGCGTGGCAACACCCCGCTGGTCTTCGGACGCGTCGAGACTTTTCACGAGAGTTAGATGGTGGGGCTCGTCCGGCGGGACGCTTCGCCTCTCACGGCGTGGGGGCGTGGCGTGGGCGGGGCTGGACAGTAACGGACGTCGGATCTGACCTATGAACGCACAAACAGGCCGGTCGGGGAGCGCGCAGGCTAGTACTTTGCACAAATGCTGAAATTTAATACTTTTTTTTTAATTAGCAGGTTTAATCATGAGGAACTGCAGTAGACATCTGACGAGTGGGCTGTATGCCAAGTCCTGGAGTCAGGGCTTGGAGATACAAAATTAATTGACTTACCGATATTTGATGGGTAAGGAATGTGGTTCAGTGGTCATTATATGGGTGGTTGTGTGAAGGCTAGGGTTTGGTACCCCCAGGACCCATAGACAAAAGATAGAAAAACACGTTATTACACATTCTCACTCTCCTATGTAAATGAATTGGAAATGCCTGGCCATGCCCGGTAGCATAACAAAACATACACACACACACAACCTCACTCCTATTTTTGTGTTAGTCATAAATGCCTGTTTTCAAAAAAAAAAACACACACATAGACATCCTAACTGTTGAGTGTTATATCGAAAAGCAAAGTGCACAGAGTCTTTGACCTAGGAATGTGCACCCCTAACTACATAATGCACAAAGACCTTGCATTCTATAGCATTATTTGTCAGAACAAAATTAAAAACATCCCAGGTGTTTAAAAGATTACAAAGTAAGATATGTTTACAACAGAACTTCTAAAATTAGCACTATATGACGTGAAATGATCTCAAAAATGGTGCTAATTAGAAAACTAAGGTACAGAACACTTGCTTTTTTAGTGTTACTAACTGTGCAAAAATAATATGACAATCTATTTGTGTTTGCAGATGCATCAAGAAACTGGAAAATAAGAATAGGAATGAAACATTATTTTTATTCCACGTCCTATTATTTGAATATGCTACTAGGTTAACCTTATACAGCCTTTCCTGAAAAAAGGGACAAAGATCTATACACAGTTTCTGGGTCAGGCACCTGACTACTGAGAAAGTTAGCAATCTTAGAAGGCTTTCAAGAAGAGTTATTTCCAAAGCTATATACCTAAAAATGTCAAGATTTGCCAAGTTAAAGGTAAAGACTTTTCAGGCAAATAGTGTGAGCAAAGGCCAGTGCAGACGTTAGTTTGATGTGATTACAACACATGGAGGACAACCAGCTAAGACTGAGGTTAGCCATACACAAGTCTAGTTTTTAATTACCATGAGGAGGAGTTTTAACTTTAAAGCTCTTAAACTGATAAGAGTTTTAAACTGTGAATCAGCATGATTAAGTCTGAAGTTGAAACTAATTCATCTGGCAAAAAAACAAAAAACAAACAAACAAAAAAACCCCTCAGGTATAGGACCAGAGGCAAGAGGGTAGAAACAGGAGGAAGGAGGAGGAAGCAGGGTTAAATATATATATGTACAGGCTGTATTAGCAAAACTTGAGAATCTTATTGGGGAGACAGGAGGTAGGTGGAAAGGTCAGGGACATTTCCACGGTGACTCTCTAGTTTCTATAAGAAAGAATGGAGGAATAAGGAATGCAAAAGAACACTGGACCTCAGTTTTCCCTAGAGCATGGTATAGGGCAGCGTTCTTCAACCATATTATACCTGCAGATCAGCATCTGTCTTCGTATCAGTCCATGGGACAACACTTACAGCAGGCCAGTGGTTTTCAGTCCATCACTAATTCATGGACCAGTGGTTGAAGGTATTTGGTATAGGGTATGAATTGGAACTTGGGCCCTGCAATCCAGTCCTTGAGTTTTCTGCAAGTTTCATTATAACAGGTTTTTTTTTTTTTTCTCGAAATCTTCTCAGCCATTTGGCTGGTATGGGTTTTAAGGTAATTCTATGGGGGTTTTGAAATGGTTAATGAAATAGCTGCCTGATGCAACTCCATCCAGGTTCCTCTTCTCTAGTCACATACTAAATAACCAGAGTATTCATGTAGTATTATTTTTGACCAAAAATATAAACCAAAGTCTGCTAGGTAGGATTTTTGAAAGGTTCTGATTTCCTAATAAAAAATATTAATATTCATGTAAAAATCTCTTTGTCCTTTGCTTTCACATACTTTCCTTACTAGAGCTATAACATGAGGCCCTGAGAAAGGTATCCATCTTATGAGAAATGAGAAATCTACTGCAACACAGAAAATTACCTTAAAACTTACTAAAATTATCTCAGGTTTCTGCCTCCCCCCTCCCCCGCCAGCTTCTCCTGGCTTCTTTTTAATTGAATGAATTTCAAAGTTACAAAGATATTTATTATTGAGTTTCAGGCATATATTGTTTCAACACCAATCCCTACACCAGAGCCCACTACCCTCCAACAATATCTCAGATTTCCATCCTATCCCACTACCTGACTGTGATAGGAACTATTCCCCTTCCCCACTGTCCTAGTTTTCTCTTCCCTAAATTATCCCCATTACCTCTCCGCAGTCTTCCTTGAAGACCAGATCTTTGTTTCTATTGCCATTGGATATCTGATATTCCCCTACAAGGTTTCCATATATCCTACAGAGAAGAGAGATCATTCTGATTCTGTTACTCTCCCTTTGACTGCTTTCACTCAACATGATACTCTCCAGATTCATCCACATTGCAGCAAACTGCATGACTCTTAAAGCTGCATAGTATCACACTATGTAGCATAGTTTCTTTACTCAGTCATATGTTCAAGGGCATTTGAGTTGTTTCCATATTTTGTCTAGTGTATATAGGCTGCAATGAACATAGGATTGCAGATGCCTTTTCTGATTTATGCTTTGGGGCCCTTAGGTCATATTCCCAGGAGTGGAATTGATGGGGCATTTGGAAGCTCAATTCCTAGTTTTTTGAGGAACACCTGACTAGTCGACATTCCCACCAGCAATGAATGAGGGTCCCTTTCCCCCACACCCTTGCCAACACTGGTTGTCCTTGTCCTTGTTCTCTTTGATGATTGCCAGTCTCTGTGGTGTAGGATAATATCTCATCAACAGTGTTTTAATTTGCATTTCCCTGATGATTAATGATATACAGCATTTTTCATAAACCTTTTGGTCATCTGTATTCTCCACATTTTTTGTTAGGGTTGGATTTTTTTTCTTGTAATTTTTTACCTCTGCTTTATATATCTTTCAGATGAGTGATAGGCAAGTAATTTCTCCAAGTCTGTGCGTTGTCTTTGTATTCTTTTTTCTTTGGGACAGGAATTTAGGCATGACTATGCTGTCTTACTGCAATACTTAATTAGGTGAAGATCCACTTCCAAGTTCACTCATCTGACTTAGGGTCCCCAGTCCCTAATAACACGAGCTCATCACAAACCTGTCTTGTAACTTAGCTACTGGCTTTCCCCTAATACAAGTGATCTGAGAAAGAAGAAAATAAAGGACAGCACCAAAGAGACAGTACAGTGGGTAGGGCACTTGCCTTTCATGAGGCAGACCTGGGTTCAATTCCTGGCATCCCATATGGTATCTCAAGTACTACCAGGAGTATTCCTGAGCACAGAGCCAGGAATAATACCTGAGTATCACCAGATGTTGCCCCCAAACCAAAAATAATAACAAAAAGAAAACACAGGACAGAAACCAATCAAATTTAGTCTAAAAAGTCAACAAAAAGTCTCAAATGTTATCTCTTATATCTACTAGAACCTAGTCACTAAAATCCCAACCTACACTCAGAGCCAGAGAGGAGAGTTCAATGGGCTGGAGTCCATGCTTTAAATTGTATGAAGTGCAGATTTGACCTCTGGCACCACATGGTTCACTGAAGTATCACTAGGTGTCCCCTAAACCTCCATTAAAAAAATGGGGAAACAGAGATTATTGGAAACGAGGCTGTCTACCCCGTACTATACAAGGGATATGGTCAATTCACTACCAGTAGAAAGTGAAAAGTGCCAGAGTCCCTGACAACATTGTGGCCTGCCTCCACTTACTGTTTACAATGCCCAAAATAAGATAGTACTCTACATCCAATGAAATGGATAAAATTTAAAAGACTACAGAGCTAGAGAGAGAGCTGACTGTATGCTTTGCATATGGAAGGCCAAAGTTCAATCTCCAGCAATACATGAGTCTCCCATTGTGAGGAATAACCTCTGAGCAACTACATCTGTGGCCGAAATTACTCCTCCACCAAAGAAAAAGACTTAAGAACACCAAATGTTACTGAGAGTGGGTTATATTAAATGAGTTCATCATTTGAAAAAAAGATCTAGGAAAATTAAATATACACATAGCTTAAAAATAAATTCTGAATTTATTTATACACAAAAATGAAGTCCATAGAAACACTTGTGCAAGGATATTCATAACATTTTTATTTATAAGCTCAACAGGGAGAAAAACAGATGTCTATCAAACAAGTAAATAAATTATGGCATATTTATTTAATAAAAACGATTTTAAAAAGATACAAATTACCAATACAAGCAAAAATTGATGAAACTCAAAAACATGCCAAGTAAAAGAAGCTTTACAGTACAATTTCTCTGAATTACAGTGCTAGAACAGAAAGCTATGTTAGGTAGAAAAAAAAACCAGCAATGATTGCCTCATAGGGGGCTGGAGTGGGAAAAAATAGAAAATGCTTATGATGTAAGTTTCTGAGCTTATAATAGTCTGTATCCTAATAGTGTCTGCTTATGCCTATTCAATGGTATTTGGGACACTTTTACCTCAATAAGAACCTTAAGTAAACAATGAACTTTTGTGTATGATGTATGCTAAAGTATTACAGTGATATGTGCTAATGCCTGCAAACTTACATTGAAATGACTATTTCTAAATGGTCATGTAGATAAATAAATGATGAAGTAGGTATTTTAAAATATCAATAATCAACCAAGATTGGTGGCTGACACATTTCTTATAAAATTCATGTAGTTTATGCTTAAAAATTTTCATAACTTATAGAAAACCAAACCTACTTACTGACCTACTTGTTCATATGATTTTTAGTTATTTGCTGTCAAACAATTTAAATTGATACCAAAAGTTTTCTAAAAAATAAATAAAAATTTGACCTAACATCCACTTAACAGGGATCAGAGAGATACTAGGGTACTTGTATTGCATG